CAAGCAAAGTTCAATTAATTTCCTCAATGGTTAACTCGTTAAAAAATTTCGCCAACGTGAATAGAATCGTCAATTCTTGTTTGACATAAGAAAAGGATTGTACGAAGAATTTTACAGCTAGAAATTTTGCTGAAACGTCGACGTCGATTGAATCGCGATCCTCGGGTGATCGAGAAGACTTCGACCAAAGTTCAATTAATTTCCAAAAAATTTCGCCAACGTGAATAGAATCATCAATTCTTGTTTGACATAAAAAAAGGATTGTACGAAGAATTTTACCGCTAGAAATTTCGCACCAACAATGACATTGGTTGATTCGCGAGCCACGGCGTGAGGCGACTTGATTCGACCGAAGTTCAATTGATCTTGATCGTCGATCAAAGTTTGATTAATTAAACACGTCTGCGGCGGTCGCGTCGGAGAAACGGTCTTGTCGACGGTAAGAAAAAACGAGGCGGAAGAATCGCGCGACTCGGCAGAAGATTCCTCGTGGCGGAGGTGGACCCAGGTGGCGCGTCCCGCGTCCGCCCCCTCCGTCGCTCGCGCGCGCGCTCTCGGGCCCACCCTTGCGATTTCCGCGGTTTATCGCGCCGACCTCTCTCCCGGCGCGCGCCTAGGAAGTTTCTCTCCCGCACATGCTGCCGCCTGCCGCCCCGCAATCGCGTTAACGCTGGTTAACGCCGCTCGAGTGACCGCCTGGCCGAGCGAGGGGGAACGAACGCGCGTCGCAACGAAGAAAGATGCGGGGCGGCAGGAGAAAAAAGAAAGCCCACCACTGAGTAGCCCCGGAACGAGAGCATGCGGTCAGCCGAGGGTGACGTCGGCGTCGATTCTCGCGTACAATCGGCACGTACATATACCTGTTCATTTACTGTGTCTCGAGAAGGAGAGGGAGAGAGAAGGAGAGCGGGAGCGAGAGAGAGAGAGCGAGTTGGGCGCGTTACGTCGTCGATGCGTGCGACCAGGTGATTCAAGAAACACTCCCCCTCCCTTTTGTTTTCTCTTCTCTCTCTCTCTCTCTCTCTCTCTCTCTCTCTCTCTCTCTCTCTCTCTTCCTCCCCCGTGCCGTCTTTCTCTTCTCTCTCGTTTTCTCCCTCTCTGTGTCTCTTTCTCTCTCTCTCTCTCTCCCTCCCTCTCGCCCCCTCTTACTCGCGCTTACCTCGACTCACACCCTCTCCGGTATATAACCTCAAACCGTCGGCGAGCTCGTGTCGCGTCGCTCGACGGTTACGCCGTGTTTTCGGCCGCGCGGCTGAACCGGGTTCCGGATGTGCGTGGCGCGGTTCCTGCTGTCGCAGCGGGTGCTAGCGAGGTCCGGGAGTTTCTCACCACATGCGACTCGTAAGTACCCTCGGCCGCTCTTTCTTTTTTTTTTCTTTCTTTTCCTCTGTCCGCTTTCTGTCTCTCGCTCGCCCCCCTTTCTCGGCCTCGTGCCCCGCGGTTTCCGCGCGTTTCCTCGCCGCGGCTTTTCCTCCTCCCGACTCCGGGCGCGCCGGCCTCTCGGCGGGTCCACCGGCGGATTTTCGCGCGAGTCCTCGCCGCCGTGAGCTCCGCTCGGGGGGCCCCCCGGCGCGGGATCTCGCACGGGGATCCGCTCCGGCGTCTCCGCGGCGATCGCGCCACTCCGTCCGTCCCTGCCTTTTTCCCCCCTCTGCTCCTCCCCCCCATCCCTTTCACGGAGCACAGGAATTTCTTTTCACGGAGAGCGATCATATCTCCCCCACGCGCGTTTTCCCCGTTTTCGAACGTTTACCTGCGGGATGCCGGGCCCTCGGAATGCCGCGCCGTTCGAGCCGCGAGCGGAGCGAAGCCCGGAAAGCGGAGGCTGTTTCGGGCGAAGGACGAACCGGAAGGCCCTCGTTCCCGAGCGGGAAGAGCGTATGGGCGTCCCTTTGGCGGCGGCACTTTCGACTTTTCACCGAAGTAAACATTTCAGTCTGATCTGCAATGTGTTTTTTTTGCGATTAGGAACAATCTGTTCTGCACGAGCTAATCGATACGCGCAAAAGCTTCGCCGACACTGCCTAATGTACAATTTATCAACTTGCATCAAGTTTTTAAACGTACTGGCTGTAAAATGGAGTGTTTCTAGGCGTTGCAAAGAGCACGTTGCAAATCAGGCTGTCCTCGCGTTCCCTCGGATTGATCTCTGCCGGAGTTTTCCGCTCTCTCCCGGGGGACGGAAAGAAACGAATTTAATTATTAATTTGCAATACTAGCTTTTTAATGATATATGTAGTTTTCCAGAAACGACCCGCACCGGCCGATGTTTTTATTTAAAAAAAAACAAACGACGTTTCGGTTCCGGATTTGTACCCTTTTCAAGTAATCTGCAAACGTACATAACTTAACAAAAAGTTGGGGGAGGGAGATTAATTATAGCGAAAGTAAATTGTAAATCTGTACCTGTTCACACAATTGTTACGTTATTACGAATTAATAAATATCAAGAATGAATAGAGATGAATAAGAATAAATAAACTAGCTTTTTACTTCTTTTTAGTTCAATTAAATTTAATGAAAAAAAACATTAACAAATTTGTACGGCCGTTTAGGAACGGACGACCACACGGAGAAAAATAATTTGCTGACACAGCAGATTTTATGCTGTAGCAAAATCTGTTCGTTACTATATGGATAGCAAGAAGATTTGTTACGAATACTAATCGCAATTTGCTGGAATAATTTGCTGGATTAACAAATTATTTCGTTGTGACAGCAAATATATGGTATTTGCTAAGAATATATTATTTTGCTTCAGTAGTAAATTAATGTGATTTTAATTACAAATACACTCAGCGAATTTGTTCTATTCTCGCAACAAAATAGATTTTGCTATAATGACGAATAATTCGTAAAATTAGTTCTATCAACTGAATTTTATTGCTATTACTACGAATATGCAGTAGCAACGGCGATTTTGCTATCACAGCAAAATTATTTTTTTTCGTGCATATGTTATCAGCTTTCCGGCGACTCCGACCAAGACTCCCATTAGCTTATCGCCAACAGCTGTCAACGTGACGATAGAAAGAAACGAATTCGATTATTAGTTTACAGTAGTAAACTTCACTTTTTTTCTAATTTAATAAAATTTAACGAACAATAAATTAATAAGTCTCGTACGACCGTTTAGGAACGGACAACCGTATGTTATCGGTTTACCGGCGATTCTGACCAAAACTCCCATTAAGCCCCTATCAGACTACAGATTCCTGACTCTGACTCTACTACTGACTTGGGCTCCCGACTATGATTCAAGCAAAGCACCGGCCGACCCTGACTGCCGACTTGGGAATAGACGCCACTCTAAAGCCCGTATCAGATTATGGACTCCCGACTCTGACTCGACTACTGACTCGGACTCCCGACTATAATTCAACCAATTAGAGTGGTCTATTCCCGAGTCGGCAGCCAGGGTCGGCCGGTGCTTCGCCGTGAATCTGTAGTCTGATACGGGCTTAATTGGTTGAATCTTATAGCGTTTTCGATTTTCTGACTCAACCCGACCCCCGAGTCAGAAAAGTTTGATCAAAAGCAAGATTTGAACAATTTCTGCAAAAATCTTACTTTATATCAAACTTTTCTGACTCGGAGTCGGGTCGAGTCAGCAAATCGAAAACGCTAATAGTCGGGAGTCCGAGTCAGTAGTCGAGTCAGAGTCGGGAGTCTATAGTCTAATACGGACTTTAGCCTATCGCCAGCAGCTGTCAACGCGACGATAGAAAGAAACGAATTCAATTATTAGTTTACGGCGGTAAACTTTACTCTTTTTTAATTTAACAAAATTTAATGAAAAATAAATTAATGAGTTCGCGCGGCCGTTTAGGAAACGACCGGCGATTCCGACCGAGACTCCCGTTGGCTTATCGTCAACAGCTGTTTGTTAACGCGCGCGGAGTTGCTAATTTTTCACTGCTCGACACGTGGAGAACGAGAGACGCGATTAAGCGCGACGCGTCACGCAGCCGGGTATTTCGCTCGAGCTCATTCTAGTCCAAGAGCTGGTGAACATTTTGTTAAGGTTGTTTTATACAAGCTGAAATTTTGTAAAAAGTTATTTTTTCCCTACCTGAATAAGGATTTCCCAACCTGCCTGGCCAGCGTTGGTTAGAAGTGCACCCATAATTTTTTCAAAGTGTAAAAAAAAATGTTGAAACCAACATGAAGTATACAAGTTGAAATTTGAATATATAAAAATTTTATACTTTTTTGAGTAAGAAAAAAAAGGGCAGGCGTCCTGGTTGGTTCGAACCTAGTGGCAGGCGATTGTAAAGTTGTATTATTAGTGGTGGTGCTTAACTTTTATTTCTCATAAAGGTATTTCATAGCATCAGAAACATGTTGCAATTTTTACATTGTGTTTCTAATGTTATAAGAGTAATGTATGTTGAAAGCTAGGCTGATTTAACAAATAGTATAAGAGTAAATGATGCATATTTATTTAATACACTGTGTTGGATATACATATAGAAAATAGAAATGTATCTATTATATTGACGTTTTTTTAATCAGAAATATAAAAAGGCAATAAATCAAATTTAAGAAGCGTAATTCAATAAGCAAAAATAGTTAAGGAACAGTTATTGAAATATATGAAATTTGAATTGAAAAAACTGAAGAACAATATAATATATAATTAGAAAAAAGTAAAGTAAAGTAAAGTGTGCAAATTAGAAATTTGCACATTGATTACTCATCATTGAAGCGTGCACATTGGAAATTTGCACATTTTTTTCGATGTTTCTTAAAAGTGTGCAAATTAAAAATTTGCATATTGCTTCCTCATCATTGAAGCGTGCAAATTGGAAATTTGCACATTTCTTCCTCATCATTAAAGTAGGCATTCTCTCTCTCTCTCTTGTAGCTTGTAGCTAGAGCTGCGTTCGGAGTCCCGTCTGGGCCGTTGAGCGGTTCACACGTCTTCCGACGGAAGGTAAAATTTTTGATCCTGCGAGATTGCATCATCCAATAGGGATTGCATCATCCCGCGCGAGGCTCGGTAGTTGGGCCTCTGCATTGTGTGACATTAAAAACGCGATTACACGTTAGGAGATTTATATCATCAAGTCAAGACTATTGGTTCGTCGTGGTCGTGTCGGCTCGATACAGGAGCCGGGTGCCATAACAAGATAAAGAAGTAGAGCTGCGTTCAAGTTCACGCAGGTTGCCCGAATCTCTCTCTCTCTCTCCCTCCTCCCTTTTTTAATATCATGTATTACTATTATGCATCTTCCATATACGCTCTCTCTTTCTCTCGCGCGCGCGTCTGCATAATCTTCTCTCCGTCGCACTTACGGAAAACATTATTTACTACTTTTCATACTGTTTTATTTGTTAAATCAGCCTAGCTTTCAACATACATTACTCTTATAGCATTAGAAACACATTGTAAAAATTGCAACATGTTTCTGATACTATGAAATACCTTTATGAGAAATAAAAGGTAACCACCACTAATAATACAACTTTACGATCGCCTGCCACTAGGTTCGAACCAATCAGGACGCCTGCCCTTTTTTTTTCTTACTCAAAAAAGTATAAAATTTTTATATATTCAAATTTCAACTTGTATACTTCATGTTGGTTTCAACATTTTTTACACTTTGAAAAAATTATGGGTGCACTTCTAACCAACGCTGGCCAGGCAGGTTGGGAAATCCTTATTCAGGTAGGGAAAAAATAACTTTTTACACAATTTCAGCTTGTATAAAACAACCTTAACAAAATGTTCACCAGCTCTCCGGCTATTCCGCCGGGCGAGTTAGTTCGTTCCACGTGGCAAAAGGTGCCGGTTCTTTCCGGGCCTAACGAGCCTAACCGCGGAAAATATTACCGCGAGCCGC